CTGAACCATTATTTGGCAACAAGTGTAATCACTTGCAAGCCAAGAAATACTTTTATATTCTTTATTTCTTCATGTAGTTGTCTGTTTTTTGTTGGGATTTTTTATTTTTGCTATTGACAAAGGAAGGTTGTCCTAAACTTCATTTTTACTTTTTCTCTAGCTGTTCATTTGGTAGCTACCCTGGACCTGATCACAGCTTTCTAAGGCCTTTGTAAAAGTTTAAATAGTTTTCTCTTTTATGTTTTCTAAGGCAAAATAAAATATTTTCTTACTTTGAAAGTGATTGTCTATATTTAGGTAACAGTGAAACTCACTAACTCAAACTAATTTTGTGAAATTAATTCTGAAATCAGGAAATACAAGCTTACCATATTAAACAATAAATGAAATCTTCAAGGGGTTACCACTTAAAAGCATTTTGATGACACACCCCAGAAAAAAATCTGCCAGCTTGCAATATTCTCCAAATCAGACTATATGAAAGCAGTAATCACACACTGACATCATTTTTTAAAGCCAAGCTAACCATGCTAATAAGAAGAGATGAAGTTTAATTTCATTGAGATTTAAGAGGTTTCTATGCTCATACAGATTTGATAGGTATCATGCGATAGTAATATAAGTAGCACAGAATATAAATTATATCATTTTGCTCATACCATGTATACTTAGGACAATAATAACAGCAACAAAAAGTTGCTGGGAGTATGCAGTTCTGATATTTCTGTCCTTCACAAACATACCAATTCATTTTAATACACATGCTAAGATAAAATCTATTTATGGGCTTTATCCACTGTTGAGCTTCATTTCTGTTTTTTCAGCTCAGAGTCTAGTGCCATAAAAAGTCTAGCAATTTCTTGAATGCAATATATGCAAATACAATCTTCTCACCTTTATTTTTATAATATGTTCTCAAACAAGTCCAGCTTTTCCACTGCCCCATCTTTATCAATAGCATATCTATTTTCCAAATCCTGGAAAGGGAGCTGGAGGAGGTAGAAGAGGGTAAGGTGGGGATAAATGGTGATGGAATGAGATTTGACTTGGGGTGGGGAACACACAATACAGTTCTTGCACACAGATGATGTATTATAGAATTGTACACCTGAAACCTATATAATTTTATTAAACAATGTCACTCCAATAAATTCAATAAATTTTTTTTTTAAAAATCACTCTTATTGTTTTATTCCTTTCTGTTCCTATCACAGAGAGACACAATTATTTAAGTGCTTCTGACTACAAAGCCTGTGCTTTTCAAAAGAGCATGACACCCAGTAGAGTGGTGAGCACAATATATTCTGTACTAAATATTGTTTGAACTGAAATAAGTTATTTTATGTGTTTTTCTAATCTATCAGAGATTTTATTAAAAAAACAAAGAAGAAAACTTCTGTGCTTTTTTTTACAGTTTTTTAAGATTGCAAAAGTTGGATTGTCATAGAGCATATTGAACTAAAATTCTACTTATAATATTTTGATTATATTATTTTTATATTGAAGAAGACAATTTTTTTTAAATATTCTAATTCACACAGCTTTGAAATCTATGGTCACAGTGCTTCTGTCTCTCCTTTTGTTATGTTTTAGTTTTTCACATAAGAGAAAGAGGATCTTTACCTCAACCATGCTTTCTATGGTTCTATCCCTGCTTAACTATGCATTCTATTCCAAGCCCGACCCCTGCCTTGTTTCAATATTTTATTATAGATGGCATGTAACTGTAACTAAGCAGCCCATATACTGTATCTGTTTGTTTCAGGCTATTATCCAAGTTCTGCAATAAATAACTTTTGAGAAAGTCACCTCTATATTCAGAGTGGTCTCCAGAGATCTAGATTTAAGTATTGGAAGCTGATGTGAAACTATAGTAAGTGGGTGATTAGCTTGATTGGCCTCAGGCAAAGTTGCAAAGTATGTGACATTTTGTAACTTCCTTTCCTTTCTATTCATGATCAAGTACTACATAAAACAACAAATATTGTGTATATAATGACTATGTGTCAGTTTACATTTCAAATCTAAACATGTGTGTTCATCCTATATTTTTCCTCATGACACATAGTTATCTGTGAGAAACTTTTAAAAATTAGGACAAAGATTGTTCTTTAGTAGAATTGTGAGACAAAGCATTGCAAGGGGGAAGCAATTAACTGCCTCTCCACAGGCCCCACTGCTGTTTTCTGTCCCCATTTTCTATGTTCTTGGCTTTCTTTCTGCAAGATTCCTTCAAAGAACTGCCCAGGGGAGTCATGGCATTGGTTACATTTGTTTGTAATCATCAATTCTCCTATTGGTGGATAAGATCCACTAATGTAGAGAACATGCTGAATTCAGTTATGCAGAATGTACCAAACCAGTTCTTTACAATTAGAGAAATTCTAAAGCATATATTACATTCAGGAGAGGTACTGTAAGTTACTAACAGTATTATCATCTGTTTATTTTTTCATTTTATTATATATAGAGAGATATATTTTGTTGCTATTCAAGCACAGTTGTCTCTTCCCCCCACCACTTTCCCCTCCCCACCCCCCACCCCCCCTCAGTCCTGCCTCCCTTCTTCCTCCCCCCTTCCTCCCCACCTTGTCCATGCCCACTGGTCCTTTATACATGTTCCTTGACCCTTCCCCTCCCTCTCCCCCTCAGCCCGCCCCCCCCCCGCCCTGTTATTCCGCTCCCCCCCACCTTATTCCCCCCTCCCTTCCCCTCTGGCTACTGTCAATTCAATGTTTCTGGCTATATTTTTGCATGCTTGTTTGTTTTGTTGATTATCATCTCTGGTTAGATTTAGTTTTTAAAAACATCGCTTAGCTTCCTCCAGACCCTGCGTATTTTTCATCCTGACTGACTAGCTCTTCTTGTAGCCAGGCCTCCTGGCTCAACGGCTTTTCTGGTTAGTCCCTCTCTACCCCGACCGACCTCTCAGCCCAACGCTGGACCTCTTTCTCCACCTCCTTAGTCTCTGAGAAAGCAAAGCTCGGTATTTCTGGGTCTTCGGTCAATTTTTATTTTCTCCTTAAAACCGCATTCTTCGAAGGCTGCCTAGATCCTGTTTTTCAGCTTTAGTCGAATGAGCCCGCATGTACCAAAGACTGAAATTCTGAAAGGGCTTTCCATATTTAAGGCATGGAGAAAATTTCGTGCTGCAGAAAAGTTGTCTCATGGAAATAGACACAGAAGCTGCAAAGAACCAGTTTGGAAATGAACTTTGAAGAACTTTGTAGCCTAACACTCAAATACTAAGTTACAAATCAATCTAGAACCACAAAGCTACAGCAGTTAAACCTGACAGATAGAAAGCTTGTTGCTAATACCGAGCGAGGGGACCAATTCCATCTCCTTTAGCGGTGCCAGTCCGTCCTTCCGGGCTGGTCACAGGCACAGAACAGACTGCATTTGGATGGAACGTAGAATTGTGGAGAATCTGAGACAAAAAGCAATGGGACTTAAGATCTATAGAAGCAGCGCGGTGAGAACTCGCTGATCTGAACAGCCGCCACATTCATATTTATAGTGTGGACGGAGCCCTCCTACTGCAAGGCTTTCTACAAATGTAAGCACACATTTCTCGGGAGGAATTTAAAAGCTGAAGTAATAGCAAATGCTCAGAGCTGGAGTCTCAATATATCTTAGGGTATTTATAAGACAGGAGGCTGGTCAACATCTTGTCGCCTGAAGCAGTAGGCCAGTTATATCTTGCCGTATATGCTCCCATCAGTTCTGAAATTAGGGTTCCCGTTGCGCATTATTGTAGTTGTTATTCATTTTTACCAGGGAACATAAAACGAACCAATTTTGAAACACTCATCAAGGGGACTGAGGTTTTTGATTACTGAGTAGTAATGACATGTTTCTTAGTAAACACATAATAAATATTTTGAATATCATTTTATGACTATGGAATTGACAGAAATCAGAACGAACTGAAATTATTATTTTAGAAATTATTGAAGGAAAAGAAAAATAACATTTACAAAATTTATTAGGGGTGAGTCGGAACCATATTATTATTCATGTTTACAAGAAGTGAAATAGTTGAAATATGTAATCTTTAAGTCATTTTATCCACCATATTAGAGAAAGAAACACAACAGCAGACAGGAAAACTGTTTTTCTACAGTCTTAAAGTGAAGATTAATGATCTTAGGGATAATAATTTTCACACACTTTCCCCTGAAATATTCTTTCAGGAAAGAATGTTAAAGACCAGTGCCTTCTTCCCCCAAAACACACTTTATTAGTAAAGTGTAAATTTGATTTCAAGGGCCACTGAGATGATTAACAGCATTTAAAAAGGTGTTTCCAGACACAGAGAGATTTGGTCTGGTGTTCACTCAACTGCAAGATGTTACTGGACAGGACGCTGGTAGCAACTGTGGGGAAGCCGCTTCTGAGGAGAATATAGAATTTCAAATATTTTTTCACTTTTTTCTTAATTTAATTTAATTTTTCAATTACAGTTGACATTCTCATATTTTATATTAGTTTCAAGGTGTACAGCATAATGGTTAGATATTTACATAATTTATGAAGTGATTTATGAAGAATTTCAGAATTTTAAAAATAAAGCCGGTTCCCTTCACAAATTAGAAATATAATAGAGATTCTGACTTTTCTTCTTAATTCTGACAGAGGGGAAAAAATATTTAGACCAGCCTCAGTCCTGGTATTAGCAAGAGCCGCTAAAAATAAACATCCTAACGGCCGACGGCAGGGGTTCGGTGCTTTGAGGGGGAGACAGCCGAGATCTCACTGGTATGGGATGGGGCGTGTGCGGGCGGAGGAGGGGTGTGGTCTGGGAGGGGGCGGGGCTAAATGCGAGGGGCAGAGGGGCGTGGTCGTCCGGGCTGGCTATATAGCTGCGGTTGAAGTCGGGTTTCCAGGGGCGTGGCGGGGGCGGGGTATCCCTGGGATAAGGCGGTTCCTCTTCGCGCTGCTAAAAGACCACTAGAGCCTGGCGAAAACCAGGGACAGGTCCCCTGCAGTTCTTTGTCATGTCGCTCACGCGCTTCACGCCCGCCACTGCCGAGCTTCGAGAACCGGCCTCCCCTTCCCCGCCTCCTGAAGATCGCGATTCCCAGCCCCCGTGTCATAAGCGGCTCCGTCTTGAGGAGCCTGGCGGTGTCTCTGATGCGGGGTGGAGACTGCCTTCGGTGCCTCGCTTGTCTGAGGTGGAAAAAGAATGGGACTTGCCGCCCAGGCCCCTCAAGGCGCTGCTTGTAGCAGCTGACATGATTTTCGATAACTCCACAGACTTTCGTGTGGAGAAATCAGCTAGTGGGAAGCAAATGAGCGATCTGGGATGCCAAAAGAGCAAATTCGAGATGAGAAGTTGTTGGCAGTCTTCCCCCTCACAAAGATTTGAGTCTGGTGTGAGGGGTTCCGGCAGGTCTCCTGAATCAGGGCTATATGACAAGGACGCTTTCAGTGTGCCCCGCAGTGACAGATCCCAAGCTACGGTTGGTCAGCTTCTGCCCACCGTCTGGATAGATGGCGTACAAGGAGTTAAAAACGAGGATGGAAAACAATATATAGTCCAAGAGATACACCATAGTTGTAAAGACAATAGTTACAGAAAACAGACAGAATATCTATTGTTGGATGTTACCTTTTACAAGGAAACTAAACCAACATTTCATGAAATTAAGAACAGATATAAAGCTGACAGTGTTATGCCATCAAATAAAAAAGAAAATAACATTTCAGCATCTAGGCTAAAATTATCAAAATCTCACAACCAGCCCAGCATGAAAATCGCCAAACGCAGCTATTTTAGAGAGAGCAGCACAATACGAATCCCTGAGTTTCCAACCGATTTAAAGAGCAGAATGTCCCCTGTCTATTTAAAGGAATTAGCAAAGAAAAAGAATGACAAAAATGAGACATATGTTAGGGATTTCGCAAACATGTACTGCTCCCAAAATAGAGTGAATGTCAAGAAGCAAAACTTACTGGATGATAAAAAAATTGTGGATGCAGAAAATATTTTTTCTGAGGGTTATGAAAGTAACCACCAATCAGTCAGCAACCAAAATATTTGTGTGACAGAAAATAACTTGACCAGTTTACTCCACTATAAGCACAGTAGTATCAAGTCTGATAAAAGAGACCCTAATAAAAGTTTTACTATAAAACTACAAAATTCAATTTGGAAGGAGGCAGGAACATGTCCAGACAGTTACACGTCTACCAGATTAGAAAAATCTCAAAGCTGGGACTATTATGTTAGACACATATTGAGAAAAAATAGGGGAAACAGTTGGATTATACATAATTACAAAACTAAATGTGATAGTATGAAAAGAACTGGAGAAAAATTGAATTTGCTACAATTATCAGAAATAAGTGTTTTAAGCAAAGAAGGTTATTATAGTACAAAAACCATGACTACACGTGAAGAACAACCAAAGCTTCTCATGATAGGAACACTGGGTAGACAAAAAGCTTTAATAAATTTTTTTTTGTTAAATGGTGAAGAAAACAATAATATACTGCACTTGCAATATTATACTACGCAAAAAGACTTTTATTTAAGCAATACTTTTGAGAATTTCATTACAGAAAGTTTTTATTTCCAAAAAAGCATTTCAGAAGATGAAGAAGATAATAATATTTTAGCTTGGCCTAAAATTTTGAAGTGTCTAAAGCAAAATCTAATAATTAGGAATATAAATGTCAATAGAAAAAATAACATTTTATGCATATATTTACAAACCAGTGTTTCAAAACCTCTGCCTAGCATATTGAAAACCAACATAGCTTCTCTGCTCAATAACTTTGACTCTTTAACTGGAACTGAAAATGATTCTAAATTAGAAGAGGGATGCATTTTCAATTGGATAAGATGTTTGAATTCTTCAAAAAATATTATAGTGGACAATCATATTGTATACCTAGGAAAGACTTTAAATTTAAGACCATTAGGAGATAATATGAAACCTATGTTAGAGGAAAATAAGCTATTTAAAACTGGACAACTTTTCGAAGTATCAAAGAAAATACCCATCAATTCCTTTAGTATGACAACTAAAAATATAGTTTTAATGGACTTAGATGACATGGCTGCAATTTCTTTGACAAAAGAAATTAGTTACAAGAGTGAGACTTATCCTGAACAAGTCATGAATATGAAAAGTTGGGCTCACTGTACTACTAATACTGTGAAAATATGCTTTAAGCCTCTTCCTCAATGCCTACAGAACAACTATGAATATATTAATGAAAAATTTTATGAAATACATATGTACGAACAAGATTTAGACACTGAAAGAAAACAAGAGCATAATAAGATCAGTAGCTTTAATTTTAAGTACAAATTTGAAGATTTCTTCAATGTTAGGCCACAAGTCATACTGACAAGCCACTATATAAAACATATTGAACAAACCAATCTCACAGTTGTAACTCAGGTGCGAAATTTTGGGAGCTTGCTAAGAAGTGAAACTGAAGCAAAAGAACATGCCTTAATTTTGAAGGAAGAAGAAAAAGTCACAACACAAAGTTTAACATACAGTTGCCAAGTTCATAAAGATACTAAGATTGAAAAAGAGAAAAATATTTTTTATTCAGTGGATGACATGTTTTCTGTGCAACCAGTTTCCGTAATGAATAAGACAGTAAATGTGGAAGGAAGTAAATATGTTAATCAAAATAATCTGGCTGACAGAAATGAGAATGTTTTGCAAGAAAGTGAGTTAGCTAATTCAAAGCATTTTCATCCAAGGAATGGCTCTACAGGATGTGTTAAACATCAATTTGAAATTGATCTGAGTATAAGGAACACTGAATGTTTTCAGGACTTAACTGCAAAGTGTTTATCAACAACAGACACTATGACAATAGGCAAAGACTTTGCCATGAAGAGTAAATTTGATTTAGTACTTGAAGAACTTCGTATGTTTCATGAGATCAGTAAGGAAAATGAAATTATAAGCATTGTGGAAACAAACAATGCACAAGGCAATTACTTTAGAGAAAATAATGATGTTGAAGAGATAAAAACAAAGACACAAAAAGATTTGGAAATGAATCCAGTCAACAAAATATGTGCATCTTCTTTGATCTGTGATACTAAAGCAGGTCCTAATACTCGTAAAAGACACCACCGTTTATTTAAATGGGAAACAGTACCCAGAAATAAAAAATGGGAAGTTCCTAATAAATATTGTGCTTTAAGAACATCAGAGGAAGAAGTTCTCTGTTCTACTTCTGAGAAAGGTATAAAATTAGTTTTAAAATGTTTTTACTTATGATAGAAAAAAATTGCTTTTTTTTTCTGTGTAGGCCAAATATATAATTTTGGCAAAAAGGAGATAAAGTATAAATGTTTACTAATGCACAATATTTCCTAGAAACAACTATTCAAACATTAAATAATGTACTGAAGTTGAAGATAACAAGTGATAAAAATTTTAAAAAGAGCTTTGAAGCATCCTGCTTCATTTACCTAAATATAGGAGCCAATGGGAAGAACATTTTTGGAAAAGTAATTTATTATTAACATTTTATATAAAAGTTACTTTTTACTATAACATGTCAATCTTTATTTTCAGATTGTGAGGAGCCTTCATCTAAAAGACCTGCTTTTTTCTCAGATGAATTTAAGGAAGAAAAAATTAATTATTTAGTAAAAGGAGGTAAGATTTTTGGTTATTTTCTAGAATACGTCCTAAGATGATGATTTCATTCTTGTATTTTTAGCATGAGGAAAATGTACTTAGGTTGTTAGAAAATAAATACAAAGACTTGTACTTTTGTAAACAATAATTTACTGAAGGAAATTCTAATAGTTAAAAATTGGCTACAAATTAAAATGCCACTTCAGAATATAAGATTTAGAATATTATTGGGAAATGTGCTCTTTAAAACTGTTTAAATATTTGCAGGGATGCATTGCAATAACTATGTAATAAGATAGGTATTATACATGTCTAATATATACATCTAAGATATGTAACATTAATTGGCAAAACCAAAAAATGTGTTTATCTAAGCTGGATTTCTATGGATAACATGTTACTCCTAGTTATATAATTATCATAATGTTCTCTATACTTTAACTATTATGAAACTCTTTATATGGACTATCCTGTAACTATTATGATGCTCTTTATAGGGATGTTTTATTTAGTAATTTAAAAATTAAGTATCATTTACATATATTAACAAGATTTATGACTATGGAATTTAAAATTTTGATTTCTATTATACAAATAAACCTAACTAAAAGTGAAACAACTAATTTCATCATTTGCCTAAGAAGTCTACAATATCAGAATAAAACACAGCAAGTCTACATCTATTCTAACTTATAATAGTACCATGGGATCAGACAGGGGTAGGATTGACATTAGGGAATTGTTTTCTAAATGACTAAATTTTCATTTGGTTAGAAACTGCTGGTATTACACATAAGACCAGATCTAAAAACAACAATGATGTAGGTGATACACACTTACCAAAATGTCTTCAGTCATTCATCATTTCTTAAACATTTTCCCAGCTTCTCATCAGTAGAATGCCTTCCCTTGTACCTTTAGACAGTCACTTCAGAAATGCACCTTTTCCTCTTTTTTTCTCAGCTTACAATAACATAATCTTAAAAATTAATCCAAGTCCTGGAAGATGAAAAGCCCACAGGTAGTCTATTCTGTCCTGGAAAAAGGAATAATTGAGAGAACAATATTTTATGAGAGTAAAAGAAGAGCGGCAGAATTAGCCTGCAAAAGATAAGAGTTGTCCCTTTTAGGACAGAAAGAAAGGAAGAACTTGGGTTAATACTGAGATAGAATGAAACATGTATCCAAATTTGTCATCATGATTATAATTGTGATAATGAAATGATTGTATGAGGAAGATTAAATTATGTGTGCAAATTAGAAAAGAAATGTTACATTTGTTAGAAGTATTTAAACCCATAATACTGTATTGTCTCTTCACAAGGAAAGTGCCTCATTATAAAATATGAAAAATAATATGTGTGAGATGAGAAAGAGCTATTTAATATTATGTTGGGATTGTTTCTTGGATTTACTTTTGAAGTGCATAAAAATAGGATAATCTCCCTGAGGCTTATTAAAAATCCACAACGTGAAGGAAAAGCTGGGAGACACTGGGAAGTGGAGATCAGATCTATTCATGCAGCATGAATTTAAAGGCATTAGGCAACTCCTGATTGTGCTGAAATGTTTTTGATACTTACCCACTTGTCATCACCTTGCATCCAATTAAAGTTTCTAACCACTTATGTCTCTGGTAAAATCCTGTCACTCTGTGTCTCTCTCCTTTCTCTGCAGAGAAGGCAAGTGTTTTGGGATTATTTTGAGCATGTGTGATAAGCCAACCAACCAGTGTGCTAGGTGCTTTATATATCATTTAGCATCAGTTCTCCCCTAACTTTAAAGTGTACACAAAAGACCTGGGTATCTTGTTAAAGGAGACTGATTCTGTTGTGGGGTAGGTCCTATGATTCTGCATCCCTTACAAGCTCCTAGCAAATGTAGATGATGTTGGTCTGTGGACTACATTTTGAGTTGCCAGGATTTAGGAAAAAGTTGAGTTAGTATTATTTCTAAAAGACAACAAATAAATTTCATAACATTTTCTAAACTTTGATTTTTAAAATGAACAATTTCTGGTAGTATGCTTGAATATTTAGAGTTGTTAAATGACACAAAACAATACAATTAATCCAATGTATAGCAATGATAAAAGGGGTCATAATTTACTCAATAAAAAGGTAGGAAATCCAGGGTGACAAAAAATCACATTCTTACAACCACAACATAATGACTGGTTAAGGGCATATGCTTTGTATATGCCCTACTATTATAGAAATTGGTTTACTGATTTACCACCCATTGTAAAATAACCAGAAGTATTTGTCATATTGGAATATGAAAGAGGAAAGCTATGCTTTGAAAAAGTAATCAAAAAGACAAATCATGGCTTTATTCTGAAATGATAATCTCATAATGAAGAGGTATACTTAGCATTAATTGTTGACATTACTTTATAACCAAATCTAATGTATCAGACATGATGCAACAACTGGTTTATCTGGACAATCCCATTTTGTTTAAAAAATTTTTTAAATGGCAATAATTTCTTTCTTAATTTTTATAATTTTAATGACTAAAGTATCATAAGATGACTTATATTATGTTGTTTCCTCCCTATATACAGAGTTAAATTTTGCATTTTATTTTATTATTGTTTACATAGATACACATTCTGTTTAGTTAAACTTAGCAAAATTATGCTATTTACCATTTGTCAGATTTAAAGTTATGTTGCTTGCTGTATTTTTGGTGTAATGTGCTTTTTGCATTATGGTCATAATAATAATTCCTTAAAGCTCAATGAAAGCTTGATACATTTTTAGCTTTAAATCTGTACCCTACTGCTTATTTTTAAAATAAAGTGCTCTGAAAATTAGAGGCATTGTTGTATTTTATCATCTAAGGTAGTTGATCCTATTTGTCTAGTTAACTGATTTTGTAATAGGTAAATCATCATGAAATGTTTTGAGCTGTTTTGAAAATGACACTTGTGCTCTATTATTGATCATAATTTCTATTAGAATTAAACATAATCATTAACAGTATAGCTTAGTTGTTTAGCTTCTAATTAAAAAAAATGACATGGTGTTTAAAGACACTATATCAAGTTAACTTAAAATCCATATAGGTCCTGGCCAGGTAGCTCAGTTTATTAGAGCATAATCCCAATACACCAATGTTGCAGGTTCTATCCCCAGTCAGGGCACATACAAGAATCAACTAATGAATGCATCAATAAATGGAACAACAAATCTCCCCCCCTCACTAAAATCAATTAAAAAATTAAAATCTATATAGTTGTTGTTAGATCAGACTGACTAGAATAATGATTGTATTTAGTTTGTATTTTATATTGGCCAAGTTACTTAACTTTTGTGCTGAGGTTTTCCCATTTTAAAAATGGAGATAGGATTAAGTAAACTAACTCATTTAAAGCACTTAGCTCAGTGACTCAGTAAATGTTGCTAGTATGATTAAAAGTTAACAAAATTTTTTTAAGCTTAGAAACTATGAGTAATTTTTATCCCTTAAATACTTTATTGTCTTTTATTTTTAGGTAGTAATTTTTCACACGGAATTTCAAGAGTGCTACCTCTTAAGACATGCAGTCGACCGATCAGAGTTGGTTTGTCAAGAAAAGCTAAGCTTAAACAACTTCATTCCTATCTAAAGTAAATATGTTATGAGGACTTAAAAGAAGATATCGGACTTTAATATTTCAAAAAAATTTCGTGATAACTATTAATCTTTTGTTTTTCTTTGGATAAATGTTTTTCTTCCATTTTGGGGTTTTGGGGCTTTCTTTACTACAAGTATGGAGAGGACTGCGCGCGCGCGTGTGTGTGTGTGTGTGTGTGTGTGTGTGTGTGTGTGAATTATCTGATTACCTTTAAACAATATATAATATTTTATTGATTTGTTTATGTCATTAACACTATACACATCAAAAGTTTTTGTGATCTTATAAAACATGTCAACTTATTTTTATAATATATGCATATATAGATAATGTTTTTGTGGAGTAGAGCTGTATAGCCTTTATAGTTTTCTCAAAAAGACTTGTGACTCTTAAAAGGGCAACAATCTGCTTCTGTTTAAAAAGCCAGAATGCTTCCGTTTCACAGGTGTTCTGCATTTGCGGTGTAGTGAAATCTTTGCTGTTTCCCAGATGTAATGTTTTGGTTCCTTACAAAACAGGGTGAGGGAGATGGTGTGCAAAAACTAACATCGAAATTTTGAAACAGCAGCAGAGTGAGTGAATTTTACATTTTGTTCACTGTTGGTAGTTAAAAGGAAGATCCCCCCCCCCCATGTAATTATTGTGAACACTTTGTGGTCACTGTAGCATTTTAGGGGGTTCGGACAGGGAGAAAAAGTAACAATAGTTCCACCTGTTCCTGGCATCTATTCAGAGCAGTGTGAAGAATGTTAATGCTCTTTCTCAAGAAATGTTTTATGATTTAAAAAATAAGGTTAGTGAACCTATTTTTAGTGGTCATTTTTTAAGATGGTCATTTTTTAAGATGGTCATTTTTCACACTGCTGAATTTCCCTGCCTGCCCCTAAACTAAAAAATGAGTTTGGATTTCAGCTCCTCTGTTGGAATAAATAAATGCATCTCTTTCTTGACTTAGGCAAAAATAGCTTTGCAAATTCAGTTGTGGTGATTTGATACTTTGAAAGTCCATTGTCTGGAAAAAATTTTCTATCATACAAATTCATGCTTATAAATAAGCTGGGGATTCTGTTTGTTTGTTTTTGCAAATTCTTGCCCCTACTTTGCAACAGTTTTCTATGTTAGTAATTGTAAAGAACAGAGGTGGGGAGCAGTACTAAAAATTAGGTAATGATATAAGTTATACCAGAAGCCTGATGATAGCAAGTTTTATTGATCAGAGTAATACTTTCTTATGGAAGTGACTGATGCTAAAAAAAATTCTGATTATTTATTATTAGAAAATTTCTCACCTATAGACTTAAACTGTCGGCCTGCCTAGCATCTATTAGTTAAACTTTGTGTGTGTATATATATATTTGTTTTGTTTTTCAACTGTATGCAAATGGAAAAAAAAGATGTACCATTTCTTTGTTGTATGTTGGATTATATAGGAAATGTTTTTGAAATTTTTTAAAAAAATGATGAAAAGAGTTTCTGTGGATTATGTTTTGGGCAATATTTTGACATTTGTTTTCATAGTTAAAAATTAATTTCTAAATAAAACTTTCATAATGATAAAAAAAGCAAATGAATCACTGTCCTAGTCCATTTCCCTTATTTACCAAGTGAAAAAATAGAGATGCAAAGAGGATGGATATGCCTTTCAAAATCACAAAGTTAGTATCAGGGTTGTGAAAGAACCAATCTCTTCTGCTGCATTCCTTCCCACTATTCTCTGCATTCACTTTTTAGTTTCTACTTCCCCCTCCAGAATCTATCTTTGGCCTCAGAGCAGAATTGTGATCATGCAGTTAATACTTACTATTAACTTATTCACTCATAGAACAAATATATTTTAATACTTCTATTGCTGTGTTAGGCTCAGTGATAGAATACAGAAGACCTTGCCTTATGGAGCTTACTTTCTATGCTCGGGATTAGAAGAGAAATATAGGATATACACAATTTAAGAGCAACCATCAGTAGAACAATACTTTTCAAAACAGTAGACAAAGAAATAAAATGGGCTACTTAGCAAAAACTAAGAAGGAAGCATCAAGAAAACAAAAACAGAAAGCATGTAATGGCAGAAAAAAGACTGCATGTATCAATTAACAAAATAAATGTGATTGGATTAAATTATCCATTACAAGCCAAGGTTTTCAGACACACTAAAAATCATCTCAAATTCAGCTCTATTTATTAACTTCCATTTCCAACCATGTATTTTCTAAATTCAATATCCTGCTCTAATATCTTTTTCTTCTCACAGAAACCATCAGCTTTTCTCCCAATAAGTATGTGCTACTTCTCAACATCACTGATGTTTAAGAGTCTATGCTGGATGTTATACTTTCTAACTGAATATTTAGTTGTTTAAATATTTCCCTCTGACTTGAGTGCTATAAAAGATATGGACTAGTACCTTTTTCTTTTGACATATTAAGACATATTTAGCAGATTGGGTTGTGGTTTTGTGGTGGAAAAGAAGTTAGACAAAAGATGAAAATGAATGTATCATTATGACTTTGGTTACATCATACCCTGCATTTCCTAAAAGGATGTAAAACAAACTGAAAGCAGAAGCAGCATATTGTAACAGAAAGAGGATGGGTTTTTGGAGATAAAGAGATCTTGCCTCAGTGCATAATGCCTTCTCAGAGTCTCTGTTTCTTCATATGCAAATTGTTGATAGTAAGACCTAACTTTCAGGGTTTTTATTAGACTTACAAAGTTTGTAAGCTTTCCAAAGACGATAGCAATTAATATTTAATTAAGCAGTGTTATGAAGCAATTGCTCAAGTGTTTATTATTATTCATTAATATAAGAACTTAATAGAATTAATGTACTAATTCATTCAAAAGTATTTATTAAACACTATGTATAAGTCAGTGTTCTAAGCACTTGGAATATGTCAATGAACAAAATAGATTTTACTGCTCTTGTGAACATTCTGTGTTAATAGGAGCAGAGAGACAATAAATAATAAACATAACAAGTAAATTATACAGTGTTTTAGATGTTAACAAAAAGCGGAAAGGGGTAAAGGGTAGCAGGGGAGAGGGTTATGATATTAAATAGGGTGGTCTGGGTAGGGCTCATTGAAAAAGTAAGGTTAAAGCAAAGATTTGAATGAAATGAGAAAGTAAGATCTGACTTATGATTTAAAGGATCACTCTAATTATTGGAAAATAGATGTCAGAGAGGGAAGACTACAATAAAAACCTGTTAGGAGGTCAAGAAGAATAGAAGCTTGGTTAAGATGATAGTAGAGTTGGTGAAAAATGACTTTATTCTGAATATATTTTGAAGGTAGAAGAAGAAAAAAGATTTTCTGACACTGAATGTGTGGGGTGAGAAAAAGGAAATCAGGAGCTATGGTATGTATGCCTGGCAATATCAAGGTTCCATCTGAGGTTCATGGTCTTGAACTGCAGAGTGAAAGCAGTCATGTGCGGAATTGCATTTTTCTCCAGTCATGTTCAGCTTCATGTGTTCAGATTTAGAATAGGCAGAGAATGAATATAGCCAGAGGCATAAATTTCATCAAGCAAAATTAAAATAGTGAGAGAAGGGCAAGGAAGTCAAGGATATAAGCAAAGAGTAATGATCGGGATTAACTATGTAATTTAAGCTGGGTGAGGAGAAGAGTAAGGACATAAATAAGGGTGAGGGAGAGTGGAAGCTTGGTAGGATTAATGGCTCGGAAGTCCCAGTGGGATCAAAGGATTGTTGGATCTGGGAGACTAGAAAGTGAACTGGCAAGATAGGAGATTGTGGCAAAGAGTGAGATCCGTAAAATTGAAATTATGGAGAGGTTGCTGTGTCTAGGGTTTGACAATGGGAAAGAATGTCTGAGGTAGTGTGGGAAGATTATAACTATTGACAAGAAATTTAATTGACTAAGAAGTTAGAGTTCTGGAAGAATTATTTACATGTACAGGGACTGGCACAAATAACACCATTTTTAATTACAAAATCTTTTATTACAAAATCATAAGCATGTAATTCTGTAACATAAAAATATCACACTCAAGCACTCCATATGACATTTTAGGTAAAATGTTCAAATTAAAACTATAAATTATTACACCCATATTATTACCCTACTAACTACACTCAAGCAAGTGTTACTTCTGCTGGCCCCTGTATATTGAACTCACCAAAAATTAAGAAAGGGGTAGTATTAGATAGTGTCAGTGAGCCAGGCTAAAATGCTGAGAAGTGAAGGGGATGGCCTACACTTTTCTCAACATTGATGCTGAAGAGGACAGCATCAATGAAGGGGTAGTGGGGGAACTTGGTAATATGGGACTTAAGCTATAGATTTTTAGGAAGGAGGGAGAGAGAATGCATGAAAGCTGCAATGAGATAAAGGACATCGATCCCGCTCTGGACTCAGTAGTAGAAGTCCTATGGGAGAAAAACCAGCCGCCTTTTGAGAAGGTTGCAAGGAAGCAGTGTTCTTAGAGGAGAGCCCACTTTCCCTTAGTTCAATCAGGTAAAGATAAGATTGAGCAGGAGGCAGACACATTTGAGAAGAGATCTGTGGGTAGACATAAGAAGACTGATGCCAGCAGGTTATTGATTGGGCTTGTTGGGAACCATGAGGTAACTGAGCATGCAGATGGGGGAGAGTGGACCTGAAAGGAGCCTTTGAGGCCAACTCACCTGGGCTTGGTGCTCTCAACAGCTTCACAGACTCTGTCCCAGTCTGTGCCTTTCACCTTAGGGCTGCTTCCATTCTGTCTTGTACTTTAAGCTACTCAGTAACTTTATAAATAAGTTAACTTTATAAATAAGTTAAATACCATTTTCTCATTAAATATTGTATGCAATTTTTTAATTTTTAATTTCTCATTAAAAGTTAAAAAGATCTGTATCCTGTCCAGTTTTTCTGGAGTGAAATTGTGTCACAAAATACCACAGCTCCTCTCCCTATTTACTTTTGGTGAAGTCTTTAGCATGATCTTAAATGTGTGTGTGTGTGCTCATCTTTATGTATCTCCCTGGCTT